GGCGGTAGGCCTCCAGCACGTCCTCCAGGGGGAAGGTGAAGCGGTACGAGCCCAGCCTGGACTTCTCTGAGAAGGCTGGAGAGGTGGTAAACTTATAGAGGAAGCTGGGATGCATGGCGGCCTGGTCCTCTGTAAGGTCGGAGAATTTCTGCTGCAGGAGCCTCGTCTCAGCTGCCTTCACCTCCTCAGGGCTCACAGCCAGACTCCACCACAGCAGGATGCCTCTGTGTGGATCTTCGGAGCCGTTGTGTAGAACCCTGAAGCCTTCGTCCGTCCTGATGCCACGTAACCCCTTTTGGTTTGTGTCATGTTTCAGATGAGAAACATGGAACTCTGGCTGGGGGTAAGCTGGGATGTCATTGTAGAGGTATCGGTGTCCCAGAGGAACTTTCTGTTTCAAATCATTCAGGCTTAAGTGCTGACCGTTGACATAATGTTCATCACGTCCTCTCCTGTTTTGTCGTTTCTCCATGGTCTCTGCTGTGAGGAACATGTACTGACACTCTGCTGCTTCTCAGAGGAATCTTGTCTTCTCTCTACAAACCCGAATGTAATTCAAAACACACCCAGTGGCATCAGTTCAAGCACCTCCCCTCATCCAAAACCACCAGTCCCACCCCAATGAAGTTACACAACCTCAAAAACATAGGGAGAAATACCATAAGTCAGGGGTTCTCAACTGGTCTCACCCTGGGACCCACATTTTCCCATGGTCATTAAGTCGCGACCCAATTTTTTTTAGAATTCAGTATTCAATATTTAATATATTTTCCTGTGCAACATGCATTTCAGAGCATATAACCATGCATAGTAACTGGAGCATGACAATTACTTGTACAAAACTGCACAAAATAAAAAAGGGCACAAAACAACATATTTTCACTCTATTTTGAGCAAATTAATGAAATGAAAAATACTTTATTCATCCCAGAAGGGAAATTCAATCCTGTAAAAGCTCACCTTTTTTTCTTTTTTTTTTTTAAATCAATATAACATATATAATAAGAAACTAAGGAGGACCATGACAGCTGCATGTACAAAAGTGAATAAAATAAATATCAAAACTACTCTGAAGTTAATGAGACAGTTGGGCACGTGCTCTACTCTTGATTAGAGTTTCAAAGTCTGGGCTGACAGTAGACAGAGCTGCTCTCAGATCATGCTCAGTGTCCAACCTGTTTCTCTGCTGTGACTTGAGCTGGACCAAGGTAGAGAAGACACTGTCACACAAACAGGTTGAGCTGAATGGTAAGATTGTTTTAACTGCAGGAGTGGCGAGGGATGGATACTCAGCCATCACATCGCTGCACCAGAAGTGGGAAAGGCTGACCTCTGCTGTATCGGCGGCGGGGGGGATTTGGAGATCAAAATTTATATCCCGATTCCAGCACAGCGAACGAATAGTTGGCTATTCGGGTCCAGCCCTAGCATGAAAATCCACATTTTAAATACTCCGGGTCATATCTGCGCTTTGCCATCTTGCGTCCCAACATCAACACAAACTTAAAGTGAACGTCAAGCTATGGTGACCGTGCCTGTCAAAATAAATGTTTTTTCAAAATAAAAAAATAGGTCCAACCTGAGACGCACATTATGTATTATTTAATTTTGACCAGCTGTCCGCGACCCACCCAGAACAGGTCCACGACCCACTTTTGGGTCGCGACCCACCAGTTGAGAACCCCTGCCATAAATTAAACAAATGTACTTTCTAAACTCGCTCTTATTTATTTATTTTTTTTAGTGTTCTGGATGTCTTTCATTTTTATCGCATTACATTAAAGTATCTTCAGCACAATTTATTTTCTTTATAAAACAATTGGCCCCACTTTTACTGCAGTTTGTCCACCCAGAGTCTGACATAGGGGTTTTTTCTGGAAAGTGAAACCTAATGTGACACACACAACAGATCCTTTAAATTTGTGTCCAAAGTGCTCTTCTAAGAATATGGAGCTCAAACGCCTTAATACAATGAAGAAGCTGCTGACTTCACATTTATGTTTTGCTGGCAATGTGACAGTTCAGTTGTTTTTCATTGTGTTGTCTCTTTGTAGCTATGAAGCTGTTTTGTGTCTCTATGTAGTTACTTTGCATCTCTTTAAAGTTGTTGTGTCTTTTGTTGTTACTGTGTGTCTCTTTGTCTTTATTTTGTAGTTATTTGTGTCTATTTGTAATCTTTTTGTTTCTATTTGTGGTTACTTTGTGTTTTGTGGTCATTTTGTTTGTTTTAGTGATAATTTTGCGTCTCTTTGTAGTTATGTTGTGTGTCCTTGTGGCCATTTTGTAATACAGCTGACCTTTGTTGTGTAAATGATATGTTACTGGAAACATATATAATCATTTAAGTTTAAAGAATAAGAATAGTTCATCTTGAGGGTTTATTCATTGCATGCTACTCACTATAATGTTGATTCATAAAGATTCGTTTGCTTGTAAGTCATGTTGTTCTGCAGGACAGGGTGCCCGTCATTGGGAGGAAACAGATGAGTGTGTGACTGCGCGATATCCCGATAACCAATGTGTGGTGAAGACAGGATGTAAAGATATGGGGCATACATCCCAGGGAGGAAACAAAGGAACAAACGGACAGGAAGATGTGAAACAGCTTGTGTGGCATATTGTGCAACTTGTCATTTGACTAAACAGTAAAAGATAAGAGTCGGAGGGAAAGGAGTTTGTCTTACTCTGTCTGATGCTAGGGAGAGTCTGACCCGGAGCTCTGTAATGCAATATTCAGTGTGGAATTAAATTGAATGATTGAGACCGCGCTGAATTTGTTTCATCTTTACAAACAAACACAAAAGAGAATCTTCTCCAACACCTTATTCACGTGTTTGAGAATAACCACAAATAAGTGCATGTGCAGCTATGTGTAGACATACAGGTAGCTGCACATAGACGCACAACAGATAAACATACTGAACCTACCATACATTATGTATTGGGTTTGATTATCCATTTGTTTATGGGTTATTCCATCTCAAGTCATCAGGTTTCTTCTGCTTGACCATCTCTGATTTGCACAGAACTTTTTCATCATAAACTGTGGAGGTTTAAAATGGTAGCACTGCAATTTTAGATTCATACATCAAATACTTTCCAAGATGAAATGTTTTTAAAAATTGCACATCAACCCACTTTTAGGAACCTTGGTCTATTTAAATTTTAGGCTGTTTGAATGAATATGTCAGAAACTAGTAACGACAAAAGACTGAAAGTAGAATAGAATAGAATAGAATAGAATAGAATAGAATAGAATAGAATAGNGTACAAGAAGAACTCATTCATCAGAGTCTCTGTAAATGTACCAACAACAACACAGATTATCATCACTGATGGCAGATTAGCACTCATCACAGGACGGATGACATTTGTGTCTCTTTGTAATTATTTTGTGTTCTTTTCATTGTTAAGTATGGTTAGTAAATAACATCTGTTGCTAGCAGAAACCTATTCATGACGTGTGCATTTTAAAATATTTTCTTTTTCAGAGAAGATGTAGATAGATTGGATGTAATTTCCCAGAGTTCCTACCTGCAGGCGGTAGGCCTCCAGCACCTCCTCCAGGGGGAAGGTGAAGCGGTACGAGCCCAGCCTGGACTTCTCTGAGAAGGCTGGAGAGGTGGTGAACTTATAGAGGAAGCTGGGATGCATGGCAGCCTGATCCTCTGTAAGGTCGGAGAATTTCTGCTGCAGGAGCCTCGTCTCAGCTGCCTTCACCTCGTCAGGACTCACAGCCAGACTCCACCACAGCAGGATGCCTCTGTGTGGATCCCTGGAGCTGTCGCGTGGAACCTTGAAGCCTTGGTCTATCCTGATGCCACGTAACCCCTGTCGGTCTGTGTCATGCTTCAGATGAGCTACATGGAACTCCGGATGGGGGTATTCTGGGATGTTTTCCCTGGAGAGGTACTGGTTTCCCAAATGTTGAGCTTCCTGTTTCAAATCATCCAGGTTTAAGTGTCGACCGTTGACATAATGTTCATCACGTCCTCTCCTGTTTTTCCGTGTCTGCATTGGCATGTTTAGATGAAGATGTTGATCAAAAAGACAAATTAAAAGACTGTGAGGAACAAGTCCTGACACTGTGCTGCTTTATGGAAGAAGGGCGCCGCGCCTTTGCCAGCCCGAACAATAGAAGGTTCAAGCGCCTCCCTCACCTTAAATAACCAATCCTGATGTTCCACATACCATCCTAACAGACACCTTCTAAACTATGGCGCCAAGAACAGAGCGAAAACTACCATGAGTTAAAAAGATATTCTTTCTAATCTTAATCTCTTTTTTATTTAACTATTCATTTATGTATTTGAGTGTTGTGAATTTCTTTCATTTGTACTGCATTACATTCAAGTATCTTCAGCATAATTTATTGATTTATTCATCAACCAATTTGCCAGAACTGACATTTTGATTTGGTTCATAACTGTATATATTTTGGGTTTGTGTATTTGTTACCTCTTCAATGTATAGAAATAAACTATCCATCCATTTTGTTTGTATTAGTGGTAATTTTGTGTATCTTTATAATCGTTTTGTGTCTATTTATAGTTATTTTGCATCTCTTTGTAGTTATTTTGTAGTTAATTGTATATCTTTGTGGTCATTTTTTCTACTTCATGTTGTGCTCATTTTGTGTCTTTTTGTGGCTACTTGAAATATCCATGTGTTTGAGGAAAACTGCAAATAAGTGCATGTGAAGCTCTGTGTGTCAAATACATATAGATAAATATCCCCATGTACACTCGGGCCGGCCCAGACCAGTTTGATGCCCTAGGCAAGGTTGTAGTTTGCGCCAACTTGCATCACAGTCAATTTCACTATTAATTTTCATACAGTAACACAGAAACTGTATGGATGTATTCAAGCTTTTATTTAAGTATAAACAACACACTAAATAAAAGCTGAAGAAACAAGTAACAGAAATTAAAAATACAATATAAATAAGGCACTGTACAAATATAAAACATGTTCTATTTACATACAAAATAAAAAACAGTAAATATGAAAAGAAGCAACACAATATGAATAAAAATTACAAAATAAATAAAATATTACACAAATTAATAAAAAGCTATGAAGCTATGATGTCCCATTTTAAGATGGAGAGTAAAAAGTTCAAAGCTTTGTTTATTGCCAACCCACATTCACAAAAAGAGGTGAGATCAGTACAGGTTCATTGTCAACAAGGTGGCAGGAGTGCAGAATAACTGAAAGTGCTATTCAATCTCTCTGTTGAAAATTCCTGTATTTTTTTATATGTTAAGGATTAAACAACGAGGAGCCGTGCATTATACGGTTTGTATACACGCAGTGGAGTCTAAAAACCACGATGTGAAGCGGAGTGGTGTTACTCCGCTAAGAAACAAACAAAAAAAAATCCTCTAAATTATTTAGAGGAGACTGTGCTACGAAGTTATGTTGATGTGGGTTTATGTGATATTTAATAGAGTAATAGTAACGCCGTTTTTTTCTGTTTTTTTCCCCTCCGCTTGTGAATGTCGGCACCCTTAGCATTTTCCTATACTAGAGAGGGAGGGAGAGTGGATGGAGGGAAGATGTGAGTGGGTAGGGAGGGAGGGTGGTTGGTGGATCCCTGGTGAGGGTCTGGGCATTGTTGGAGCTGGATCTCAATCTACCAGAAATTAAACTATGTGTGAGATAGCTCCTGCGCATTCGTTTAATGAAGCAATAGGAGAAGATAGTTAGGTCTCACTCTATGTATTTATTTATCAGATGGCTGAATAAGCATACAGAGCTCTGGATCAAACTTCTCACCCTAGCACCAACAGATGTCAGGTCACAAAGTCTGACTGACTGCCTCTCCCTGATCCAGTGTACTTTATACTATTACATGAGAATGTGCACATAATGTGTTGCAGCTAGCTTATTGGTTCCTCCATTTCCTTGGGCCTTCTCCTCCCATCTCGTAGGTGCAGAAACTTGCCACTCGGCACCCAACTACTGAGCACCTTCAGTTTGTCCCTCCTGCAGATACTTGCTTGTGACAGTAAAAAAAAATATACATACCACCAAATCTTGTTTCTACCTATGTTTCTCATGCTGCAATTGTTTATAAGTTATGCTGATTATGCCTTAAGATAATAATAAGAGATTATCAGAACATGAATATAAAATATATGATCCTAACAGCATTGGGGTGGGTGCTGGCCCATGCCGGGTGGCTGTCTGGAGTGGGCCTCACGGGCTCTTGGAAGGCCTTCTGCTGGGGTCGGGGGTGGGGGTGACTCTCGGGCTTATGTGGCCCTGGGCCCTGCGCTTGGCCCGCCTGGGATGGCCGGTGCCTCGTGGGGTCGGCGGCTGCTGGTCTTGGCCCGTTGGGGCCTCTGTCCCGCGGCCGTTGGGGGCTCTAGCTAGCGCCTTTCTCTGCCGCCGTCTGGGGGGATGCATGTTCGCCTCAGTAGTGTGGTGGCTGAGATTCATACTCC